TGCTGCATAATTCTGAAGGTGCGCTTGGCGGGTGGGCCGCAGGGGAGGTGATGTGGGGAAGCAGCTGGCTGTCGGGCAGGCAGCAAGCCGTGCGGCTGACCCCTGCTGCAGGAGTGTGCCGGAGAGCCCCTTTTCCTGCTCTACTGCGCCATCAAGCAGCAGATGGAGAAGGGCCCCATCGACGCCATCACGGGCGAGGCGCGCTACTCCCTGAGCGAGGATAAGCTCATTCGGCAGCAGATTGACTACAAGACGCTGGTGAGTGGGGGGGGCCAGCTGTGCAGGACTTCGGGCATGGGGGGAGCCTCGCCTGGGACCCACCCTGTGCTTCCCCTCACCCTCAGACCCTGCACTGCGTGTGCCCGGAGAGTGAGGGCAGCACTCAGGTCCCGGTGAAGGTTCTCAACTGTGACAGCATCACCCAGGCCAAAGACAAGCTGCTGGACGCTGTGTACAAGGGCATCCCCTACTCCCAGCGTCCCAAAGCCGAGGACATGGACCTAGGTGAGGCCGCCATCCTCTCCTCCGGCCCCCGCCTCGCGGCTGCATTACTTTGCCTGGTGCTCGTTCTCCCCACCTGGGCTCTGTTCTCTGAGCAGAGAGGGCCCGGGGGCTCGGGAGACACCGAGCTGGACCTCAAGGCCTATCTGTGGCCTGCAGAGTGGCGCCAGGGCCGCATGGCCCGCATCATTCTCCAGGACGAGGATGTCACCACCAAGATCGAGTGTGACTGGAAGAGGGTCAACTCGCTGGCCCACTACCAGGTGAGCGGCTTGGGGCCCACTCGCCCCCAGGGCCACCTGGGAGCTGCAGCCCTGCCTTGAAGACACAGGAGCAGGGGTGCCCTGGCTCCTTTCTGCTCTGGCCCCCAAGCTCACAGGCCCTCCCCAGGGAGCCTCGGGAGCTGTTCCACGTACCCACTGCGGGGTCCACGCGGGTGGTGTCTCGGGCCTCTCGGCTACTTGGCCTCGTGTACTGCCCCCTCTCTGTCTCTGGGGTCTCCAGGTAACAGATGGTTCCTTGGTGGCACTGGTGCCCAAACAAGTGTCTGCCTATAACATGGCCAACTCCTTCACCTTCACCCGTTCCCTCAGCCGCTACGGTAGGTGTCCTCGTGTACTGGCCTCTGCTGGCCCTGTGCCTTTCGAAGGCTGTAACCTTCATGGGAAGCCCCTGTCTGAGCAGCCGGGATGGCTCTGGTGGCCTCCCCGGGCCCTCTCCTTGGGAGGTCTCTGGTTCCTTAGAGCCTAGAAGTGGGGCGGGCCAGCAAGAGCAGACGAGCTCCCCTCGGTCTGCTGGCCTCCTGGGACAGAGTGGGGCCAGAGCCCGAGCGATGGCTGGTGTGGCCCCATGGCCTAAGGGGCGAACTGGTCCTCTGCCCCAGAGAGCTTGCTCCGCACAGCCAGCAGCCCCGATAGCCTCCGCTCTCGGGCACCCATGATCACGCCCGACCAGGAGACAGGCACCAAGCTGTGGCACCTGGTGAAGAACCACGACCATGTCGACCATCGTGAGGGTGACCGTGGCAGCAAGATGGTCTCAGAGATCTACCTGACGCGGCTGCTGGCCACCAAGGTGCGGGCCTACCCTGTGCCACCCTGGCCTCAGGGGCGCTGGCCTCACGGGGAAGCCCTGCTCATTGCCAAGCCTCCGTTCCGCATCCGTCCTGCTGTGGGGACATCCCGATCTGGCTCCCTCACGGCCTGTGTTTCTGCTGTGCCCCTGCAGGGCACGCTGCAGAAGTTTGTGGATGACCTCTTCGAGACCGTGTTCAGCACCGCGCACCGGGGCTCAGCCCTGCCCTTGGCCATCAAGTACATGTTCGACTTCCTGGATGAGCAGGCCGACCAGCGCCAGATCAGTGACCCTGACGTGCGCCACACCTGGAAGAGCAACTGGTACTTCCCTGTGCCTGGCTGCTGCGGGCTCTTCTACGGCGGGTGTTCAAAAGAGGCTGGTGGCTTTGCCGAGACTCAGGGACCACAGGGGCAGGGCGACTGACGGGGGTCGGCGTGGTCATCCACGCAGGATAGGACTGGCGTCCACGGCGCCACCAAGCGAAGAGGGCGAGTGAGTGCGGTTCATAGGCGGGCTCTGTTTAGCTGGTGGGTAGTTGGCCCGGCATCCAGAGGTGGCCCTTAGCCCTCAAGGTTCCGCACAGGGCGGAGATGCTGCTGGCTCGGCCTAGGCGGTAGCATTTCTCCTGATGTCCTGCTGCCGGAGGTCCGGCAGAAGCTTAAACAAAAGGCTATTAACCTTAAATATGTCACTTTTGCTGCTCTGGGTGAGACGTGGGCTGGCCAGACAGGAGCCAGACAGGGAACAGGGAGAGGGTGCTCGTGGGGGCACCAGGCAGCTGCAGGTGTGTGTGTCCCCGCCCAGCCTGCCCCTGCGCTTCTGGGTGAACGTGATCAAGAATCCGCAGTTTGTGTTTGACATCCACAAGAGCAGCATCACGGACGCCTGCCTGTCGGTGGTGGCCCAGACCTTCATGGACTCCTGCTCCACGTCCGAGCACCGCCTGGGCAAGGACTCGCCCTCCAACAAGCTGCTCTATGCCAAGGACATCCCAAACTACAAGAGTTGGGTGGAGAGGTGGGTCCCTGTGGCCCCGTGCCGGGCAGTCCGGGGCCACTGCTGTGGGCCGAGGGAGGCGGGCTGGCTTGTTCGAGGTGGGCCGACGACAGGAAAGAGGCCCAGAGGCTGGCCTGGCAGCCGGGGCAGGGGCTTTGGCTTTTATGTCGCCCGCCCGCGTGACCTACTCAGAGTCCCAACAGGTATTACCGGGACATTGCAAAGATGGCATCCATTAGTGACCAGGACATGGACGCCTACCTGGTGGAGCAGTCCCGCCTCCACGCCAGCGACTTCAGTGTTCTAAGCGCTCTCAGTGAGCTCTACTTCTATGTCACCAAGTACCGCCAGGAGGTGTGTGCCACCCCCGGTTTGGCAAAGGCGGGGGGCTTGGCGGGGGCTGAGGAGGGCCACAAGGAAGTGGAGAGGCACAGGACAGTGGGAGCCCATCTATCAGACTGCTCACGATCCCTCCCTCAAGCAGGCTCCTAGGTGCTGGCCTTTGCGGGACTCAGAAGAGAAGCTGCCGGCCAGAGTACAGAGTTCTGGTTGGGAAAAAGTTGAGGGCCAAGGGCACGGGGGCGGACAAGGTGAAGGGGTGGAGCCAGAAGGTGGGCACGGACAGCCCTCCGTAGGGCCTGTGGGATCTGTGGACAGAGGTGTCAGTAGGCAAGGGACATAGAGGTATGGTCTTCAGGATATGTTCTTGGCTGGAAATGTGAACGTGTGAGCCAGGACATGGCCCTGAAATCCTCATGCCTGGGTGAATCCAGCAAGGGCGGCCCGCGGGCGTAGAGGGAGAAGCGACCGGCCCACTGAGCCCTGGTGCCCTGGGACACTCAGAGGGTCAGAGAAGAAGGGGAGCGGGCAGCAGAGACGGGAGGGGAGGCCAGCGGGGTGGGAGGGACCTCAAGGGTGCTGAAACGTGTGAGAGGAACCCCCCGCCCTGGGGGGTCATAGGGGAGGGGTGATCGGCTCTGTCAGGTGTTGCTGCTCATCAAGGGAGGGACCCCCACTCCTCCCCCCCGGTCCGAGAACACTGGCTGGGTCTGGCGACAAGATCGTGGAGACCTGGATAAGGGAGGTTTGTGGGGTGAGTGAGGGGAAGGGAAACGGGAAATCGGAGACAGAGAACCTGGACCACTCTTGGGAGGGGCTGCGCCCTGGCTGTAGAGAGAAGAAAAGCAGCTGGAGAGGGATTTGGGGTGCAAGAGAAGCCGGAGGGTGTGTTTGGAGGTGAGAGATTGGAGCCCTTCCCGTGTGCCCAGGGCCCCTGGCTAGGAGGGATGCGCTGAGACGTGAGCGGGGAGGAGCGGGAAGAGCTCAACCTAGGGAGGGGGCTTCGCCCAGGCCGCCCGGACCCTCTCCCACAATCCCAGTTCCGCGCCCTCCTCCCCCCAGGTTCTCACCGCTCTGGACCGAGACGCCTCTTGTCGGAAGCATAAGTTGCGCCAGAAGCTGGAACAGATCATCAGCCTCATGTCCAGCAACAGCTAAGGGTGGCCGAACAGCTGAGGAGGGGGCTCCTCAGTCCTGGGCCATCCTCCCGTCGAGGCGCGGGGCTCACGCCTGGGTCTCAGGGCTGAGCCCAGGATTAGGTGGCACGGGCGAGGTCACCGGGACAGTATGCCCCCGGCACACCTGGGCCCCCTTCATTAGTGCCTTGCTTTGGGCCCTGCAGGCGGGGAGGGGGTGACAGGACCGAGCCTCCCACCCAGCAGCAGCAATACCCCCAGCCTCCTGGCCTTGCGCCCAGGTGTTGTGACAGCCCTTGCCCTCCTTGCTATTTATACCCCCAACCGCCTATTTATTTAATTTATCTCCACTTCACAGTCTCCATCTGTAAATACGTGTCCCCCTGGGATGTCGCCACCCTCACTCACCCTCACTCCTTGAGTCATCCTGGCTCCCTTGTGACTGTCAGCCTTGGCCTAGCTTCTGGCACCTCACCCTTGCCACGGCTGGCCCCACCCGTTCCAAGAAGGGGGCCTAGGCACCAGCAGCACTTGGGGTGGGGTGGTACACGAGAAGCTGCCCTCGGACTGTGGCCGTGCCAAGGGGTCCCCCTGCAGCTGGGCCACAGCGTCCCCCTCCGAACTTCCTGGGGATTGGACTGTACGTTCTCACGGGGCCCTGTTCTCTCTGAGCACCTGGAGACCTGGACCAGGCGTGTGCCAGGGCCTGACTTGGGCCTGGGGGCTCCAGAACTGTCCTCCTGCAAGCCCTCCTGCCAAACTTCCTCAGTGTTGTCTGCACTTGCCCTGGACCCCGTCTCATCCTTAGCTGCCCTGTCCTGCACCTGCCCCAAGGGGCCGAGGCGGCAGTGCCTTACTCCTTTGTTCTGCCTCTTCCGAGGAATCTGGCCCCGTCTCGCGGTCCCGGAAACCCAGTTCTCTCCTGTTTTGTTGCATGACTTTTCCTTTGTTCATGTAATTTTTTTTCCTAATTAAATGTCGGGAAAATGCAGTCAGTGTGTGGCTTTGCCCTTGGGGCAGGTGGGTGGTCGGTGAACATGGGAAGCAGGTGCAGAGGCGCTTGGGCTCCAGATGAGCTGGACTTTCTTTATGGGAGGAAGGGTAAGTCATTATAGAGTTCCTGGGGACTTAAAGAAGTCCAGGACCGTGTTCCAGTCATCGGCAAGTGCTGGCGGCTCCACCTTAAGATCCATTCAGAATCTGTTCCCTTCTCCTCATCTCCACTGCCCCTAGCCTGGTCTTGGCACCCTTGTCTCTTACCTGGATGCCAGTCTATCCCGTTTCTGCCCTGTCCGCCCTCAGCCTAGTCTCAACCTGGGAGGCACCGGGATCCTGTTAAGATATAAGGTGGGTCCTGTCCCGCTCTATTCAGAACCCTCCAGTGGCTTCACTGGCATCCAAACTGCTTCATATATGATAACTCATTACTATCCCAGCTGTATCTCCTTTGTGATGTGCCTACCTGCCCCTTATTCACCCCCCTCCCCACAGAGCTGTAAAGGTAGAGCAGGTGGGGAGAAAGCGGAAGGCAATTTTTATTTATTTATTTTTTCGGCGAGGCAAGCCTCGGTTGACCTCACAGATTGCAAGGACCTTGTCAGCTTACGATCCCTTATTTTTTTAATTTTTTTTTTTTATGTTTTACGCCTACAGAACCTGGTCTTCCTAGGTGGTCTCCCATCCAGGTACTAACTAGGCCCGACCGTGGGTAGCTTCCAAGATCAGATGGGATCGGGCTTATTCAGGGTGACGTGGCCACAGACGGAAGGCAATTTTTAATAGAGCGATCAGGAACGATATTTGAGTGCACCAGGTGACTACTTGGGGGAAGAGAGTTCCAGACAGGAAAGAGGCAGTGCAAGGGCCCTGAGGCAGGGGTGGGCCTGGTGTGTCTCAGAAAGGGAAGGGGGCAGATGTGCTGGATCGGAGTGAGCAAGGGAGGGGAGGGGACCAGCGAGGACGTGAGTGGGACTCACAGTGGGCTTTGTAAGCCACTGGAAAGGCTTCGGCTGTGTCTCTGAGTGACGAGGGGAGCCCAGGGTGGGTTTGGAACAGAATTCCGTGACCTGACCTAGGTGTTAAGATGGCCAGCAGCTTCAGCAGTCCATCTGTGGGACTGCGTGGCAGAATGTGGTGATGCTTACACGACCGTCTGTGTTTGCCAAAAGTCCCAGACCCGTATACCTAAAAAGGGGGACATTGACAGCATAGGAATTAGACCTCACTAATCCTGACTTCAAACACAAACAAACTAAAAGGAGGTAAAAGACCGAAGAGAAAGTTGCATGATCCAGGATAAGGATTCAAGCTCAGACAAAGGGAAGTCCCAGGGTGACAGCTGTGCGGGCAGCCTGGAGAGAACCAGGCAGGAAGAAGAGAGCGCACCAAGGAAAATGGTTTTAAAATTGACCATTTTGAGGTTACAGAAGCTAAGCCGAAGAAGAACTAAACTAGGCAATTTTTAACCTCAGGGAAAAAACAAACTCCAAGGAGCGAATGGACCTATTTGGGGAGGAGGAGGTGGGAAAGCGGAGTGTATACTGGTATGAAAAAGTTAAATTTTCATCTATCCATCAATAATTAAGAATGATTTCTTTTTAAAAAGTGGAAAGAGACCATTGCTGTAGCCACTACAGGTGCTGCGTGCAGCCGGCTTCCTGGGTATAGAAGGTGGACTGGACAGTCCAGCAGTTGGAGCTGGCGGGCAGAGGAGCGGGGAGAAGGGAGCGAGAGAGCGGCAGGGGGAGAGGACCCTCGTGTCCGTGTCCGCAGAGGTCCCTCTGACTATTCCGGGAGGACCCCTGACCAGCACAGCGTGTGAGGAAACTGCGCGAGGCCACGGGGAGGACCGCCCGAGAGGATGAAAGGTGACGATGCGCAGCGCTCAAGCGGAACGGGCACTAGCGGCCGTCCCCACTGGCCAGAATGGCACACCTCACAATTCGGGAGGCATCGGGCAGGGCGCCCAGAAGGGTCTTGCCCCGGTAGTGTGGAGAAAAAGGACTCCGACCCTGAGAGGACCCGTGTAAGCAAATCTTCAGAGCCAGACTCTAAAGCATCCAACTGCTTCCAGCATCCAGAACAAAGCCCCCCAAATATGTCTAGGACTACGAAGATCTCCCGCACCCGAGGGAAAAATCACGTCTGGCATCTGATCTAAAATGACCAGGCTTGGAGAGAAGCAGGAAACCTAACCCCATCAACGAGAAAAGATATTAACCAAACCGATCCAAACTGAAAAGGATGTAAAACCACCTTTATTCTGGGAAAAAATGATCATCTTCGAGAAAATCTGATGCCATCTATAAAAGAGCTGTTTTTCTACACTGACCTGAGACAAGGCCAGTCAGCCCACAAGGCTCGGAGTCTAGTATTTCTGGGTTGTTTCCTCTCTCATGCAAACTAAGTTTCAAAAATTTTTTGCCAAGGAGGCCCAGTGGTGACAAAGATGTGGGAAACCAGCATTCTGACAGGAAGGTACATTTTCTGGAGAGCAATTCTGTCCTGTAGATTGAGAGCTTTAAAAAGTAAATCATAAATATTTAACTCAGTAAATCTACCTCTTGGAATCTATGTTAAGGAAACAATCATTCACGCAAAGATTTATATAGAATTCCATCGAATCGTTACCTATAACAGGACAAAAGTTGAAAAACAATTCAAATGGTCAATAATTACATTATAATGTCTCTTTTATGTCTCCATTCAATAATGCTTTTGAGGAATTTTTAGAAAGAGGAAAAATTCATGTTAGATGAAAAGTCTCAATAAACATGCTACAGTTGCAAAATAATATACATTGTGTATTGTTATACACTGACTATATAAATACAGCTATAAAACTAAGGAAAGATTCCAAAATGTTGACAGTGGATTCCAAAATATTGACCAAAGGACAGGACCCATCTTCCATTTTCCAAATTGTCTTGTTACCTTGGAGTAGTCGAATAACTGAATCCCAGACCTCCCCTTCAATCCTGGGACAAAGGCAAGAATATTAGGTGCTGTCGTTGAAAAGAAACTCAGGCATGGACTAGCAGGTCAGTTTATTTTCTGCGGGACCAACCACTTAAGCACCAAACAAACCAAGCAGACTCCGAGTGCCCCAAGTGCCCAGGGCCCCATAATAAAGTGGCGACTATTGCAGGAATCACTGCCGTAGGAAGGGTCCATTGTCCAGGAGGTCACACAAGGTGGGCCTTCGGCCCCCTTTTGCTACCCCAGGCTCAGCGAGAAAGAGGGGTTCCAAAGCGCTGCAGAGTCCGCATCACCAGGCAAAGCTGGTCAAGAAAGTTGATGATGGAAATTCGGAGGAGGCCAGAATCTTCAGCTCTCCAGCGGCTAAAAATGAGGAAGAAAGAAAATCAAGTTAAAGGTGGTGACTGCTCCCCTTCCATCCTCTGCCCCTTAGGCGTCCATTACACTGAAGCCTTTGCGGTGTCCATTACAAGACCCCCTTACACGGCACCAAGTCCCTCCCCTAGAACTAAGTAAGCCTCGAGTGTCTCCGCGTCTCAGTAGACACTGGCCCTTCCATCTGCTGCCACCCACCCCCGCTCCTTCTAGACCTTACACCGCTAGGACGCTGCCGTTCACTGTTAAGTCCTTCCGGACCACCCCTCGGTGGGGTTCTGCATCTGGGGCCAGGGATCCATGGGCGATGTCTGCCTCCAAGGGGGACGGGAACGACACTCGTAGGGCAATGAAGATTCAGTTAAGGCGCCATCTGCGCCACCTTTGTGCCTCGGGGACCCTCTCGGGCTTCCGTGACTAGTCTCACCGCCTTCGGACGTGTTCCACCCCCTCCAGACCACCCTTGGCCTCAATCCCCCGCAGCCACGCTGTTACGCGCCTGCTCTCATTTCTCCTCCCCTTCCAGACTCCACCTGGGCCGTACACCCCCAAGACACCCCTGGATCCCTCTGCTCCACTTTCCGCCCCGACCCGCACCCAATGCCCCCCACCCCACCCTGCCTCAGAAAGCCCCCAGCGTGTTCCCTGCCGTCCCCTCAGAAAGGATACAAAATATGTAGTCGGTTTCCCGGTCTGCTGGCTGTGGCCTCGGCGTCTCCGCTCGGCCCTGGGGCACTCTGTGCTCGCGCGACAGGAGAAGCTCCGCTGGATGTGGCGCCGGCCGCGTCCGCGCTGTGGGGGATGCGGTGATCAGCCGGGCCGCCCCGGCCCAGCCTGCCTTGTCCGCTGGAGGGCCCCGGCCGCGTCCGCGCTGTGGGGGATGCGGTGATCAGCCGGGCCGCCCCGGCCCAGCCTGCCTTGTCCTGCGCTGCCAGCGCCTGCCGCCTGCATGGCTGCCGCGCTCAGCCCGGAGCCCGTCCTCGGAGCCGGGGTCTGACTGACTGCTGTCTCCTCCTTGCTATTTTCTGAAGTCCCGCCCCTGCGCGCTGACTCCGCCCCGCAGACCTGCGGAAACCGAGCCCTAGTGAGGCCGCTGAGAACGTGCTGAGTTCCCACCAAAGCGACACTGCACCGGACTCTCGGAGACTCTGTTGGTCGTGAAAATACAGAAGCTGCCTGCATAAGCCCCGCCTTCGCGCGCGACTTGACCCCAGGGTCCCCGAGCAGACTGAGCCCTGCCTTCTGCGCCCCCTGCACTTCGTGTGAGGGCGCCGGACGTGTGGCTGGTTTCCCTCCCTGTCTTCTCCCTGGGCCCAGTGTCCCCAAGAGATGTGGCTCAACGTCCTTGCAGTGATTTGCGGAGGGAGGTGGGGTCTGATAGCCCGGTAGGGATACTGCTCTGCACCTCGCCCCCATCGCCGATGTAAATGAAGACGCCAAAGGGGGATTGAAAGACCGACGATCCAATCGTATTTGCGTTTTAGAAAGAACAGTAAGTGGGCAGTGTGGAGGTCAAGCCTGCCAGCAGGGAGACCTGAACGGAGGTAAGGAGAGAAATGATAGAGACCTGAGATAAAGTGAGACAGGGCTAATGTCAAATGTGAAAAATCAGAATGCAAAACTAAAATCCCAATTTAGTAAATATACATGCATTGAACTCCTAGAACGACATACCAAAATGTAAATACTCATTATCTCTATGTGATGGCATTGTGGGTGATAATTTTTTTGTGTGTGTTTTCCCGCAAATATTCGACAACGACCTTATATGGTATTTTAAATCAAAAATAAATGTTTAAAAGTTACATGAAATTTCCGACAGTGATCGTCAGGTTAGTTTTCTATTTTCCTCCCTTGTAATCATCAGGAAGGACATAAAGCTGAGCTATATCCTCAAACCTGTTGGATTTTCCCTCACAACAGACCCTAAATCAGCCCAATTCTCTCCCTCTCCATTGCTAGTCTCCAGTGGCAGCCACCATCTCTCCCTGAACTCCTTCAAAAGCTTCCTACCTGCCTTTCTTCTACGCATTTTCCTCCGGAGTCTGCTCTTCACACGGCAGAATCAGGTCTTATTTTTTAATATAAATAATATCACATCCATGCTTAAAATCCTAAAATGATTTCCCATCGCCCTTGGAATCAAATCTAAACTCTTTGCTATAGCTTACATCAGCTGATGGTCGTTGACGCCAATTCAATGCTAATAGGAATCCCCAATTTGAGCTGTGCTGAAAAAGGACACTTTATTGGGTGCAAACAGGTTAACTGTGACACAGCCCAGGAACAACAATAGTGTTAGAGCTCAATTAAAAAGCAGTAGGTTGTGCCACAGCAGGGCCCTGAGGTGAGGCCCCTATCTGGCTAGACAGCTCTGTTTTGCTCCGCTCCGCCTGTTCCAATCCACTCCGATCTGCTCCACCTGCTCTTCTCTGCTCTGGTTCAGGGAGACATCTTAGGTATTTTGTCTTCAGCGTCATGACTCCATCCTGGGAAATACAAGTCTTCAGTCTTTCCTTGGAAAGGAAAATGTGGATTTCAAGATGAAACTCCCCGCCCCTGGTCCCTGATTGGTCTGTCCTTATGCAAATGAGGACTACAAGTCCTCACAGTGTGATTGGTCCAAAAAGCGCCGTTCTGATTGAACAGAATGGAGCTGCTCTGATTGGTGGATGAAGTCGCCGATGAGGCTATAGTTGCACAGCTCCAATTGGATGAGGAAAGCCTCAGTCCTATTGGTTGAAATAGGATTTCAGGAACTCCTTTATAAGGGCTGGCTCAGGCGACAGGAACTGAGGGCAGGCAGGCAGTAAAGCAGGCTTCTATTCCCTGAAGTGTGGCTTGTATGAGAGCATCCTGTTTAGAAATAGCTACTAGGCTCTGTTCGATTTTAATTTGAGCCCAGTTTAGCCACTAGAAGCCTTTCTTGGTAGGTATCTTCTTTCCCAGGGTCCACACTTCTAAAAGCCCTGGGTGACTTGGCTCCCAACTTCTCCATCCTCTACCCTCACCTGCCTCCTTTCTAATTCTCTGCAGCCTCTGGGGCCTTTTCTCTGCTCCTGACCAGGGGTGATCTGCCCCCAGCATTTTGCACTTACTCTTCTATTGGAAAGACTGTCTCCAAAGCTTGTCATGGCTGACTTCTTATCATTAGGATCTTGGCTCCAGTGTCACCTCTGAGAGGACTTCTGGATCACTAGTCTAACGTACTACCCCCAGGCATGCTTCATCACAGTTACCCATTTTAATTTGCTGCGTAACATTTCTAATAACCCGAAATTATAATCTTGCTTTGTCCACTTTTATGTCATTGATATATCATCTCTGGCACCTTCTTCTGTTGTTCAGTGCAGTTCATGAAATAGGTAGTTTGTTGCTCGTTGAATGAAACAGTATTACAAAGTACAAAACTCTATCACTATCTTAGAGGCAGCCATCTGCACGTAGGAAGTTACTTCACAAATATGAAGTAACATGCACAAAGTTACACACTGTGACATCTTTGGCAATAGAAAGTTATTGGACACAATATGCATGTCCATTAACAAGGAATTGGCGAAATAAACGGTGATACATTCATACAATAGTCCTAAGAAGCAGTAAAAAAAAAAAAAAAAATTAAAATCTTTAATGAAAATTAAACGATTTCCAGGATTTTTTATGTGAAAAAAGCAGAGTGCAAGGACACACACACACTCACAGACACACATATTTATTGGGGGAAAAGAGACACAGAAAGGAGAAACCCAAAACTATTTAAAATGATCATCTATAGAAGGCCGACATGGGTATGGGATTTCTTGGAATATAACTTTTTGTGCAGTTTTGACTTTGAACCAGGTAAATATTTTACATGTCCGAAAATACATTTAAAAGAGTGAAAAATCAAATGTTAAAATTGAATAAAAGCAAAAATGAATGAGCCTAACAGCGTATCCAATTTATAACAAAACCACACAGGTGCCCTTTAAACTCAGCTGTCTGACTGTACTCCCTTCACGGCCTATAGTCTAAGGACAAAAGGCACTGGCCTTACTTTCGGGATGTTTGTTGTCAGCAAGGGTAGTGATGAAGCTATTTGGGCGTATTTTAAGACAGACCCTATCTGGTAGAACAAATGAGTAAATATATCGATGCTGTTAGGAACGAGAATTCTCAGTGTGGAATAAGGAAGGTAACAGAGAACTGTGATGCTGGAGATTGCAGTATGAACTCTTAAAAAATATATTTCTGAGTTTTGTTCAGTGAACGAGTCTAGAAGTAATGACACCCCAGTAGCAATAAGCACACCCTGCACTTGGACCTTGGTTTTCTTGATACCATTCTCTACTAAAAGGAACCAGAACTCCTCGGAGAAATGGCTGATTCTAGGGCTCGGGCAGGAAAAAATACAAGATGAGCCTGGAGCACCTTGTAGTGCTGGAAAGTAGAGAAGGGCTTTAAAAATAAAAGGACAAGGCACGTTAAAGGGACACAGGGGTAAATTGGGAAGAACCAAAGCTAGAAGAATTTGAGCATCCAAAGGATATTAAACCTTTTGGAGAGGAGTGTGACTGGAAGGGGGCACCAGGGAAGATGCGGGAGTGCTGTCAATATCCTATATTTCGATCTGGCGGGGATAGATACATTGGTATATTCGGCTCAAGTCCATTGAGCTGTATAGTGATGATTTATGCACATTACCGTATGCATGGTATAGTCCAATAAAAATGACACTCTTGGATTCTAAGTTGTTAATTTAAAAAACCACCAATGCGTCCGCTGTGATAATTAAGAAAAGAGAGAAGGAAAAAAGGAGAAATATAAACTAATAGTTGTACAAAGGAAAAGAGTATCAGAAAACTACCATTTGCAGCCACCAGTGCAATTCATTTAAGCAAGAATCATCCTCGGATGATAAAACCATTAGATAAACGTTGTTGGAGAACAGGATATTCACAGGGTCTCAAGGTTTTACCCCAGATTACTTGCAAATTAGGTAGGGAAAATGCAACTTTGCAACAGAGAGACCTGGTAGCCTCCATTTCGATCACGTGATCAAATCAGCCAAGCCTCCCTAATAGTGGGACAGCCTGACCCCAGTGCCTCCTGGGGGCGGGGGAAGGGGGAAGGAGAAAGACACACAGCATCTCCTCAGCGGCACTCTTGTCAAAACACTTAAGCTGAACCTAACGAGGAAGGAATCAGGTCAATCCAGACTCTGGAACATGATACAAGGTGACTGCTCTGGACTATTTAAAAAATATTGTTGCCTGATTGCCTATGGAGAAGGGAGAGTTGGGAGAGGCTTCCTATCGTTAAAAGCCCAGGTGAGTGGCATCGCCATTCATTGAGGCAGGCCGATGCGAGGGGCCAAGAGAGAAGAGACTTTGTCTCCCAGTCCCAGTGCCGCCAGCATTTGGGACGCGGCAGGCACTCAGTGACGGCGTGCTTGAAGAATGAAGGTGTCTGCAGAAGGGCCAGAAGCTGTCTGGGAATGAAACCCTAGACATGTGGCCTGGAGCTCAGGGGAGAGGGCCGGGATGAGCCTCAGACACCAGAATGAGGGTGGACAGTCCCCCTGGGCAGTGATACGGAGAGAGAAGGGCTGTGGGGACAGCGCCCTGGAGCCCCCCAACGTTAAGAAGTGGGGGGGCGGTGTGTGTGTGGAGCAGGAAGAATCAGCAAAGGAGCCAGAGGAGTGAGCAGTGAAGTGAAAGCAAAAGCAGGAAGAGAGTCACCTGGTCACCCTGAGGCCGGGCGTGTGGACAGGGTGGGGAGGGGGTCAAGTCCCCAGAAGCCCAGGGCGGCCACTTCAGCTGGACCATAGAGGCAGACAGGGCGGCTGTCTCTCCTGCAGGCTTTTCAGGGCCCGGAGGTCTGATGCCCTCCACAGCTGTCGCATCTGAGCTGTGAGTGCCTGGCCTGGCTTAGCAGTGCCCCCTGTTGGACCTATTGGAGCTGGCAAGGCTTGGTTCAGGCCAGGCCTGGATGGGATGCCTGCAAGGCACCAGCAAATTGTGGGCACAGCTAATCTGTAACCTGGGCACCACTAACTCAACAAACCCACCCCAAAGCAAACGCTACCCTCCTCTGACTCTGCCCCTCCTCCCTGGGCCCTTGAGAAATGGCACCACGAGCATCTCAGTCCAGGTGCTAGACCTTTTCTGTCAGAGGCCACCACTTATTCTGCCTTTTCCTAGTGTCATTGCGATCACGACAGGCCTGCGAGCTGAATCACATCCCTGGGGGTCAAGGACTGCCCGAGGCCCCTCCTTGCGAGGCAGGTGATGGGCCTCAGGGGCCCACAGTGGGCGGGGGACAAGTAGCAGAGGGTGGGGTGGTGCCCACCTCTGAGGTAGACATTTGCCTAGGAGGGACACAGCACCTGCAGTAAACATTCTGCTACCCGTTGCAGGATGTCATCATTTGGGACCTGCAGGCGTACGCGGGGCCGTCCCCAGACTCCAGGCGCAAAGGTGGTGTGTAGCTTGTGGCTGCTCCATCTTCACGTGGAGTCTCTAGCCTCCTCTCATGATGGCACGAGGCCTGGACCAGAACCTCCCCGCCCCTCCTCAGCTGGGCCTCCCATCTCCCATCCCTGCAGCATATCCTCCCTCCCCTGTCTTCCCGCCGCCAACCCACCCATCCCTGCCCTGCCGCACACAAACTTCTGAAATGAGGGGTCCCTAGTTACCATCACCGCCTCCTCCCCTCCCCGCTGAAGCTGCTTCTTGCTCCCAACATTACCAACAATCTTCCTGTTACTAACTCAGAGGAGCCTCCGCCCCGCCCTCGCTCTGCCTCTTGGCAGCACTAGACAACATCCCCGTTCTGGCAGCCATTCTTGGCTTCTGACTGAGTTCTCCCTGTGGCCTCTACTGCATCTCCAGTTGGTAAAGATCCTCAAGGCCCGGTCCTCCCCCATCTGTTTGTGCCACACTCTCTGGGAAGCCACCTCTTCCATCTTCATAGCTTCTAGGATGTCCTGTTCACAGGTAGCTCCCGATCGTCATCGTTAAAGGTTACAGAGGGCTCCGGACTCAGAGTGGGCCTGGTCCCAGTCAGTTTCCTTCGGTGGGGCTCCCATCATACACCCTGGAGACTCCACTGTGTCCACATCCAGCTCCGTCTCCCCGCCGAGTTCCTGACCCCATGTCAAACTGTCCAGCAGATGTCTCTTAACCACCAGATGGCTTTGTCACCCCCGAGCTGGGAGCCACTGGCACAAGGGACTCAACAACGACCATCTCTAGGGTCTAAAACGTGCATCTGCGTGTGTCACCCCCTTGCAATGGACAGCTGCTGTTTGGGGGCACCATTCAGCCCTCCCCGAGGACCTGGCTTTTGTTGAGAATGTCTCTCTCCCTCCCACAGACCATGGGTGTCCAGGGGGCTGGCCTCCCACCACGCGCCCCACCCCACCCCCAGCCAAAATGATTGGAGGCATGACCCAGTTCTGACCAATGAAAGGACAGCATTTATTTGCTGGGGGCATCCGGGGGAAAAGAAGCTACACTACAGGGCGCGAAGATGCTCCTTGCTGGAAGGTGCTCCCTGCTGGCTGTGAATGAGGGATTCAGTGGAAGCTGCAGGCAGCCAACTTTTGATCCTGAGGCGGCGGCCTGGGACGAAGCAGACACTGCAGAGTGCAGAGGGGAGGTAGGAAGAAACTGGGTATTTGGTGAAATTATTCATCTGCTGCCAATACCCCTGGACTTCTTAGTTTTGTAAACCAGTAAGTTTCCTTTATTGTTTAAACCAATTTCCTTTATGGTTAAACCAATTATTGGAAACCGAAAGCAGCCTAGCTAATATAGTTCTTTTTGGATCAAAGTCAAAGTCTCACATTCACCTTTAGTGCTATTTAAAATTTCAACATAAACTTCCTGACTCAAAATAAATGAGAGCAAGTCTGTCACATGAGCCGCCAGACCACATAGGCTCCTAAGCAGGTCCAGCTCTCAGGTGAGGCCAGGGGCTTTCGTTTGCTCTTCAAAGCCTTCGCCCATAGGGCCTGTCTGTCATCTCAGCCTAGAGACTCAGCGTTTGCCCAAGATCCGGGCAGGAGGGTCTTGGGCGGGGAGGGTGGTGGGGCTGGAGCATCCTCCCGTGCACATGGCTCCCTTCCGGCCTCACCTGTACTGGGTGTCCTCCTCCAAGAAGCAGCCGCCTAGATGACCTCTAATGCCCGCACACCAGGCAGGGTGGGAGGACCAGTGCCACCGGCCCATGCTTCTGCCCCCTCCCCGGCACCCCAAGATTCCTCTCAGGCAGCGAGGGCGTGCAAGGTGAAACCCCTGCGCACACGTGGCAGGGAAGGGTCCGCTTCCACGCTGTGGGTGAGCACATGGTGTGGGGGCCTGGCTGAGGCCTGGCTCTGCCACTGCCTTGCTGTCACCTGTCATCTCCAAGGAGCAAGGACTGCCTGCGTCCAGGGAGAGACAAGCAGAGGGGGTGCTCAGGGAAGACCTGTGACAGGAAGGGCCAGGAACCTCCATCTCTGGGCCACACTTGGCCAACACTTGGCTTTTGGCCTCAGTCTGTTTATGGAACACGAAGCAGGGGGGGGGGGACTGCTGTAGACACCTCCCTCTCCCTGGGGGCCGGGGTAAGGACGAAGGAAATTGAGGTTTAACGAGCGGCCTCACTGGGCAAAGTCAATGGCTGGGGACCAACACGATACAGGGACTTGCCTGAGGTCACACCACAGAGCTGAGCGATGTTCATCCCCGACTCCCCAACCTGCTTTTCCTTCATCGAGCGCACACTGGTGGCAGCAGCTGAGGGGGCCCAGGGCTGGCTGTCACTTGGCCTCCTGCCAATACCAGACCTGCCAGAGGTCTGGAAAGGAGTCACTTGAGGGTTTATTCTCAGTGGGCTAAACACAAAATGCCAAAGCCCATGTCTCAGAATCTTCCGAACAGCCCCTTCCTCCTTCTCATCCTGAGGCACTTCTAGAAGCCGGCTCGACTCGGATTCTGGCTCCCCCGCTTCTCTGCTAGGAGCCTCGGCTGTCTCACCTCCTGTGCAAGGTGCGGGAGCAAACCCGGGTCAAGTGCTTTGAGTGGTGCCTGGCACCTAGCAAGAGCTGGCCACAGGTACCTGGGTACCTGCCAGCTATTATTATTATGAGCCAAATTGCAACATGAGAACACATTTAATGCTACATGCAGCTTGCAGCCTGGCCAGGTTCGTCCCCATACTCCACGAATCCTATTTGGAGAACCCTTTCTCCATAGCTTCGGTGACTTCGGGGTGCAGGAAGCGGCTAGCTAAACGTTCGATGTCATCCAGGGTCAGGCGGCTCAGGGACCTCTCATAATCCTGAGGAGAAAAGGCCAGGAGGATTCAAGGACTGCCAGTGGGGGTACACAAAGACAGAGGCAGGGGCTGGGAGCAGCTGGGACAAGAGTGGACGTCTGGGGCTACCCTTCTCACCCTCTGTAGCTGGTCCAGGACTCTGCTGGCATCTGCGGCACTGAAGTGGCGGGCCAGAACTTTGGCGATCAGTTGCCAGGCCGGTGGGCGTGGGGGTGAGGCCTCGGCCAGTCTGCGGGCGGCTGCAGTTTCTTCCAGCAACACCTTCTCCAGAGGTTTGACCACTAGGTTGAGCTTGGAATTGGGCCCGATGCTGTAATCGGAGAGTCTTTTCCCATCTGCCAAAAAGAGATGGATGAAGTCGTTACCCACCGCGGTGGGGGTGGGCTCGGGGGAGTGCTGCGGCATCTGGCTCAGGAGGGTTCTGCCACCGCCGCGAGGGTCAAGTGGCCGATCGATGTTCCTTCCATCCATCACACCGCTGCCCTGGCTCGGCCTGGACACCCCGTCCCCCGACTTCCTGCGGGGCTCCCTGGTCGTCTCCTTTCCCCGTTACCTGCCAGGGCCTTGCCCTTGAACAGCAGCCGCTGCTGGCGCACGGGGACGTTCAGCTTTTCGGACACCAGATGTTTCAGTGTGGACACCAGCTCGTCCTCCGACACCTGGCCGGGCCGAGGGTGGGAACAGGGGTTGAGCCCGCGCGGCCCCTGCTGAGGGCACCTCTCCCGGCCTCCCCGGCGCGGCTGGCCCG